CGCCCGTACCATTTGACACTGCTTTTACGCGGGGGCGTGCGATTATGAGATTTACCACGGCCGCACTTCGCCCGGGTCTGCTCAAGTCGATCTCGTGTTCCTTTTTGCACCAGTGTTTTTTTTTGTTTTTTTTTTTGTTTTTGTTTTTAAATCGTTCTCGCGAAAGCACTCTAACGATATTACATCGTATACAGTCACGGTTGTTCTACAGTCGAATGCGTAGTGTACAACCCACGCTGTGTTAAAAGCCCAAATAAAATAATATAATAATATTATATTATTATGCAGTGGCGCAACCAGAATTAATTTCAAGGGGGGGGGAGGGTCCAAAAAATGTATTTATCTACTGTTTTTCGGTTTTTTTTCTTAAATAACACATACATTTTATTGTTAATTAAATAAAATTATATTATTTAATACATATATTTTTTAATTATATTAAATTTATAATGTATGTCAATTAATTATTATTATTATTATTATTATTATTATACCAATTAAAGTATGGTACAGTCATTAGACATTAGTCTTAATATTGAATGCATCTACGTACGTATACATCGAATTCAACGTGTTATTAACAAAATATCAAATCTAATATTCAATCTAATAAATAAAATTTGATGAACATTTTAGGATAACTTTAAAAAATAAAAATAAATACTATGGCATACACCAAGAGGGAGGGGTCCACTACTGTTATTATAATTATCACATTTTATTTGTTCTTTTAAAACATTCGTTAACTCAGAAAAATAAGCATTAAACTCGTATGTCCTCGCACGTCGTAATAATTGTAAACACAAATCAGTTATGAATTTTTATTCATATGCATTTTTACAATCGATGTATATGGTGATTTCCTGTGATTGGATATAATAGTAATACCAACTAATACAAGACTCTTATCTCGAGAAAAATAACAGAGCCCGGTTTAGAAAATGATTTTGAACATGTTTTTTCGTTTGACGAGATCAATTATCGTGTTAACTATAAAGTAATAAACTAATAAACTGTGGTTAAATAAACTGTCATCACTAATTGACAAACATACAGTTCACAAAAGACACGGAGAAACTTTCTATAATAAAACAGGTGTTTGTTTATTTATTTATATTATTTGTTTTGCAAGGTTTTTTTAGACTAAAAATAATAATAATGTGTGGAATCTACTGTAGAATGTAATATAGGTAATAATATTGTCGTTGCATATAACTGTAGTTAGACCTACATTTACCTAATTGTATTCCATAAACATTGTCAGCACAGCTTCACTTTTTTGCCTTATCACTCATGAACCGTTATAAATATTTTTATTACACAATATAAGATAAACATACATATAGTATATAAAACAAACACGATTCTCGATCGTCATACTCCATTTAAAAAAAAGTGAAATAAATGCATTATACAAAACCTAACACTTTAAAAAAAATTAATTTAATGCAAATGCCGATGTAAGCGCCAAACTATCAATTGACTATTTATAGAAGTATTGATTTTATTTTTTTCATGAATAGTTTCATATTTATAAAACGAAAATAGCTAGGGAACTATTATTATTTGTTTTTATTTTTGTTCGCTATTCGTACACAAATAAAAAAATCAATTTGGAGTCAACACTGAGTTTCAATAAAATGTTTTTATCGTACAAGAATGTATGACGTTTTTATGATGGATTTATGTTTATTGCGTGCTCTGAGCGTTTATTGAGATAAATAACTTAAATTTGCCTATACTCAATTTCATTATTATTATTATTATTTCCCCTATAAAAGAGACTAGCTTACACGAAACATGTTGTTTTTTATGCTAAATAAATGAAAAAAAAATATATTTGACTGCTAAGGAAACATAAAAAATATAATATCCGAGTTGAAAAACCCAAAATACTATAGCTGAACCTATCTTGGATCCTTAAATTTCTATTTCAATATTCGTTGAATTCTTGAGTATTTGTTAAAAAAAAATACTGACTAAATACTATATAAGCACTTTTTATCTTTCAATTTTATTTATATTCAATACTACCTATAGTATAATTTATAGGATACCTAAAATATTATTGTTTTGTATTAAAAATAATTGTAATTATTGTTGTGTTACATATTATTATTACATGTACACTAAATTATTAGTTAATATAAATTTTAACGTTATTACACACTTAATGTTATAATAAATGAACATGAATAATTAATATTCCGAAAACTTTATAGTTATGCAGGATCTCCTAAACTATATAATATATATTTTTTTCAAAATATATTGTCATGGTATGTAACATAGTTTGCATTGTGGAAATTGCTACAGTTATTTAAGTCGATTATATTATATACTAATATAAAATAAACCATGTATAATATGTATAGTTAGTTATTACATAACAATATAATTCTATGCGTACTATTAGACACTGGAAACGCATTTAAACTTCATATATTTTTAAAAACTTGTGTAAAAGTTTTTTGAATAGAAATATTATTAAAAGATTTTTGTAAAGTATACGTGATTGACAGATGTATAATGTTGGACATACGTATGAAGAAATTAGCAAAATGTTTAAACTGCTTTATATTCGATGGGTTCGTAACAGATATGTCCTATACATCTGATTTTCATAAAAATTGTTTAATCGTATTTTAAACTACTTAATAGGCAAATGTTCTACGATTATATGTTTATGCATTTTGTAAGGTGCTTAATCGTAAATTAATTTATTTTATCTTTGAGGTGATTTAACTTGTAGTAGTGAGACGATTGTTTAAATCACACATAATATTGTTTTTTTAATAAATCAAAATTTAGATCATACTATATATTATGTTTGAAATTATATGAATTTTTTTTAAAGTTTATGTCATTGTTCATGTTTTTTTAAAAATATATTACACATTTCTTTAAATGAAAATCAGTGTTAAAATATAAAAATAAAAATGTCTAGTTTGCAATTTTATTATAATTACATAAAATTTAAATTTAAATGTACTATATAATACTAAAAACAGTGATTTCATCAAATTATTGAACTAAAATTTCATAAATAAAAGTAGTAATAAAAATTAATGATAAAATAATAATTTTAGTTCTCTAACTAATATAAAATTCAATGTGTATGATATTTTACAATGAACATAATATATAGCACGAGTTTAAAATGGCGTCTTTAGCTTACTAAAAACTATAGTAAGTTATTGATAGGTACCTACACCAGGGTCCATTAAAATATGTTTGATTCCTAAATCTACGGTTTAAATTATGACAAAATTACAAATTCTGTATATAAAATATTATAGGTATTATATTAAATTACTCGATACGTACAAACCTATATAAGTAAATAATATATAAAAATACAATTATATTAAAAGAAAAAATATGTAATTTATAATATATAGTACATTTTTTACTCTAGACTTAAAAATATTAACATGGAATAAATTATGTTATATAGGGCTAAATATATTTAAGAAATACTTGTGTTAGTCACTCCTTCATTTTTTTAATAAATTAATATCACTAAATATACAAATGTAAGTAAAAAATTTAATTTTAAGTATGATTACCTACTATAATTCATAATATTTGTATTTAGATTTAAATAATATACTTTTAATATTATAATTCAATATTTATTATGTAAATCAGATAACCACTCTATAGTAAAATTCAAAAATCAAAATTAACTAATTAACCAATTAACTATGTTATAACTTTAAACTTTAATCAAATAAAGTTATTATTAAATAATTAATGGTTTAATATAATTTATAATATTGTTTTTTTTTATTCGTATACTTTTCTGAAGTTATTTCATATTAATAAAAATGATAATATACTCAAGAATTACGTGTTTATCACAGTAACTGAAGATTGAAACCAAATCTAGATAGCTTTCAATGATTTTCCTAATAGTCTGTCAAAGAATAAGAAAAAAATCAGAGATAGATGTCGAAAATTTTTGAAAGATTGTTGGCAAGCAGTAAGCACAAAGTCATTTGTGATGATTTATTATTGTTTTAAAATTTAATATCACAATGTGTATTTTTGTAGTGTCACCATATTATTATATCGAGACAGACAAAGAAAGACAAGTGCATAATGGATATCTGCTCACAATATCATGCTCTGCATTACATTTTTTTTATTATTTAATATTTTTAAATATGTTTTATTGACTTTAATAAGGTTCACTTCGCAGGTATTGCATTCAAACATGAATACAATTTGAAGTTTGATCCTTAAATATTTTATAATTATTACTATTTTTAATTAAGCATCAGCTTAGGCAATTAAATCATTGATTTACAATTATTTTCATAATTATATTTTTTTTAGATTGTGTTTAAAAAAAAAATCGTGAAAATTTGATTGGATTATAATGTTTAGTTTATATTTTTTAGTATATTGTGTTATCTAATAGTTATTATCTTTATTTCAATTCTAATTGTCATTAATTGTGTAAAGTAATTTAAAAAACATATATCTATTTGTTTAAGTGTTGCGGGTCTTTATAATAAATTACGTAAAATATATATATCGATTCATCGTTAAATTACCTAGTTAATTTTGATAACATGAATAAAAAAGAGTCATAGATTATGCTATTAAGGTATGGTAAAATTTTCAATGTAATTGTGGGATTAATTAATTGGTAAGAAATGAAAATCCATAAAATAAAAAAATACATGCATTTTTTTTATACCAATATACCTATTGTAATTTTTTCAAGATCTACTTTTGAAATGTATAATGCTATTCTATAGACGCTATAATATACCCAGACCCATAAATGTACAATGTAGACGTTTAATGATTATTATTGTATATATGTATCGTGTGCGCCACAACCGTAAATGCGTATCATATAGTTGTTGGCCAAATTAAGTCACGCTCGTGAGTTCGAGTCGGTCGCGAAGTGTGCGGTATAAATGTATAATAAAACTCAGAGTCATATAATTATGTATATATTTATTTTTTTTTTTTATTCTTGTCAGCTTCGCCGGCCCGAAAAATACCAACCGAGCGAATTTCACGATCAAAGAAATAGTTTAAACGAAGTTCCGGCGGCGAACCGGGAGCTTGTATATTATTATTGTTAATCCGAGTGAAAACTGTGCGGAGAGCAAAGGGATCAAAGCATAACTTCAGGATAGTTAAGAACAACTCGCGTCAGAAGCCGCGCATGTGAAGCCGACACTTCCGTTTCGAGCACGACAAAATTAAACGTCTCCCGCAGTCCCAGCGACGACATGTCCGAAAATATTGTCCGCTACGCGTGTTCATGTTTATTACAATTATTATATATATATATATATATTACTATTATTATTATGAATACCACCTCGCGGTGAATTATTACCATCACTATTATTATAATTAACATCACTATTAAATTATTTTTTCATTGTTGATGTTTTTGGCCACCGGAAACTGGCGGGTGAAAAGTGTCACGGAAATTCATATTTGTTGGTATGATTATTTTATGAACAAATAATAACCCTAATAGTAATTGCGATACTATGTTATTTTTTCGGAATATTTTTACCGACGGTACGAAAATATTCGTAATCCACGTTTTAATATAAGCGTACCTATATCATGTATCGTAACGTGTAACCTATCTCATATTACAGTCGTTGTGAAACGCGTTAAGGATTAATAATAGATCACTATATTGTGTATTTGCGCATTATAATGATTCATCAAGTACGTTGTGTAAAAGATATACATATTCAGAGATTTAATTTCAAAACTGTATTATTTGGTAACCACATTTATGTTTACGTAGGTCAAACGATAAAGAAATATTACACAAGTCTAAGATCATTTGGTAACTAGATCAACGTTGTTTTTCTGCAATAGAGTATTGAAAAAAAAATATGAACTGTTTTAACTTTTAATCATCCAAACCGTCACAAATATTCCATTTTTATTTCATTTTTTTTTTTTTTTTTGTTTATTAAATACATTGTATTCTTGTCATAATCAGTCTAAATTCCTCACACGATTTCCACCATTAAGTTACACCAATGTATAAATAAAATATAATAATCTAGATGACGATTAGTATTATCATTTTTAATTATTAAATGTTATTAAATTACGTCTTATGATTAACTTAACTCATGAGTCATGACCATTCCAGGTTTTCTGATTGCTTTTTTAGTGTTATTGACGTAGAAAAAACTCGTGTTGACAATATTGAAGTTTATCTCCTTTTGAAAAAATTTCTATACAGTCTGTGGTACACAATTGTACACTAAGAAGCAATCTAGTAATAAAAACCATCAATACCACACAAATCGGAGCTGAACAAAATTTACGACGAAAAATAAACGCAATTTATGAAATTCGAAATAAACGTACTAGAAATAACGTTACAAAAGTCGTCTGTATCCATCGTAAACATTCGGAAACAAATCGAATACGATATTAAGCAAAAACCTGCACTTTGTTAAAAAAATATTGTATTATATTATTATCGAACAGACAATTGAAGAAAAAAATAAGGTCAGCGTACAAAAACTATTAATATTGATTTATTCGATAGAAAAAAAGAAAATTTCGCAACCACGACAGAGCAGATTGCAAAACAGGACTTTGAAAATATAATAATTATTATTTCAGATTTGTTGCTCGGACCGTGGCCACTAATATTATTATGCATCATTCTATCTCATAATATTATGGTGTATTGACGAAAACGGAAATGTGTGACCAAGAACTTGTCGTTAAATTGTACTAAACTCGCATTCTGAAGGAAATACATTTTAATGTTGACATTTGGCCGTAACGTCCAAATTGGTGAGATTGGTTTGAAGACGTAGTCTACACAATACGATCCGGAGAACCCATACCCCATGCGAACCCAATTTATTTTCACTCAACGTATTGTCTAGTTTTTGAGTTCAGGTCCAAAAGGGGCGGACGGAAGAACGGACACATATGCACCTTATGGAGAATTGGGTTAAAAAGGGTTCGTGACAGAACATCTAAACTGACATCAATATAAACGTACACGACACTGTACTATTGTACACGCATTATATTGACACATTATTGATCGACTTTTATTTGTTGTAGTCGTGTCGAATCAAACACATATTTTAATGTTTTGTACAACACATGTTTCGTGAATTAATAATGTTAAGCAAAATTGTATTTTATATTTTAATAAGAGACTATCGCTTGCAAAAATGACAGTTCAATAAGTGTATGACAATCAGAAACAGAAATGTTAGTCGATTTTGGCTTATAACAGTAACTTAGTTACATTTTAAACTACAATTTACTCAATATCTGATGACTTATGTTTATTTTTTCGAAAATATAATATAACGACACTACCACCATATACTCGTATTATCTATTATAATTAAATTTTTAATTATTTTTTACCTACCAATTTATACCTCATATTTTTATATAGTACAAAAAATTAAAAAAATACATTTTAAATTAAATTAATTAAAAATGATGATATTTTCAAAAAAATAATGTATAATTGAAAATATTTTTATTTCTGATTTTTTTGATTAATATTATATAAAATCTAATTTAGTTATAACTTATAACTAACAATAGTAAAATACAATATTACAGTATAATTAAATTATATAAAAACACAAAAAATGCTTTTTTTAGACGAGTAGTATGTACTACTAATTTTATCTTATTTATTACCTATTTAATCCAATATGTAAAGCCACTATATAGAACAATTTTCTCAAACGATATATTTAATTACAATTTAAATACACTAAAATGATCCAAAAAATAAAGCTTGTTGTAACGTGCAATATGTAGATTGTAGGCAAATTTTAAATTAAAAAAGTAAATTCAAAAACATGTATTGTAAAAAATCTTTTTTTTAAATAAACCAAGTGGCTTATTATACACTATAGCAATGCGTATTATTTATATAAAATCTAATAATACGTGTCAATATGTATAATATACATTATATATACATATTATGTATCAGACGTACCGGATTCTATCTATTTTCAAGTAATGGTATGAAAATTCGCATTTACATATGCAAAATAGATTGTTTGTTTATGACGTATTCAAAACGATTTGGCGCGGAACGTACAACATACAACAAGGAACCTTATTTTTTTTTTTTAAATATCGTCTTACACTGTAAAATGCGAAGGGCGGAAGAGCTTCGATTACCACTCTCAAGTCTCAACTACTCGAGGTGAAACTTCTGAGTGGGATATCATCGCGCTTTGCATCCCCTGTATCTTCAAGGCCTTATAGTAGAACTTAATGTGTTTACATTCTTTTTTAACGATTTCCCCAGACGCTTAGTGTTTCCCCTTACTCGGGTATACACAGCGAAGGTCGAAACCCTTGAGCCAATACGCCAACACGCTGTACCTTATACGAGCAGAGGGTAGTTGTCATGCAGTGTTTATTAAAATTCTTAGTACCAAGGGTGGAGCGAGTTAGTTGTGGGATTTTCCGGCTGGTAGTATATGTATTTACAAATCGACAAACTGATATATATTTACAATATATAACTATATTATATACTCATGCGTCTGAGGTGTATATATATATATATTATGTGTATGGTTTTATTTTTTCGACACAGACTGTAAGTTTTCCATTTTACCCGATTACTGCACGATCCATTGTTCGAACTTTCCCCTAGGTTTCTTTTTTCCCGCTGGCCCTGCACAACAGACATCCGGAGGGTTCGCAAAACACCTATGTTTGCGAGGAATCCTCTCCCTTCGACGTCTTTTGTTGGAATCTTTCAAGTTCTGAAACAGTTGGCGGTTTTTCTGACTAAGGAGGGTGTATTGAGATAAAACTCGGGCAGAAAATTCAATCATATTACGAGGCGACAGTGAAAAACAGCGTATGGCAGCCACAAGCGCCCTCCACGTTTTTTGGCGAAAATATAATAATACATAGCGACTAATTCTATTACACGATCAAAACGTGCCGATGGTAAACATTGTGAGTTGTAGGGATATAAAATATGAACGTGGACTGTTATTTTTTTCACCCCATCTCATTACATCATTATTGTATAGTGGTCTTGGTACTCGGAAAGATTTCACGTGCCCGATTGTACGCGTGAGATCCATTGTCGTCATATGAAACGAGTTATTTAATATATATATTACAATATATGTAAGTATTCATAGGTACAGACATATAAATACGTTTTAGTTGCGACGTATTACTAAAATAAAAGAATTTACTAATTTACTTAAGTAGCAGCACTTAAAAATGTATTCAATATAAAAAGAAAACTAGTTTTGTTAAAAAAGTGTTATTGGTGTTATTTCAATCTTCGGTACTTAGATACTTTTTCTATACCTATCCCAAAAAATAATCATTATATATTAAAGATATTATATTACATTGTGTATAATCAAACAATATTCACGTCTGCTAACTACACAAATGTACTAGATTCTATTCGATGATCTTTGGATTTGCAGGAAAGTTTTCAACAATACTGCTGTTAACTTCACATAAATCTGTAATTTTCAATATTCTCCTTATACTAGTTAAAACAAATACAATTGTTAGATATGTCAACTGCATTATAATGGAGTACCCGTATTTCAATTCATCATTTTTTCAATTCGCGTAAAATTAAAAATTAGTGGTGGTATTTTTCTTATATTCTAAAGACAAAGTTCCTAAATAATAAGAAGCAAAAATCAAGGTGTAGTTGTAATGAGGGTTGATTGAAGTCGACTGTACATATTTACACTACAAAGTTTGTAAACAAAAATATTTTTTTATGCTTTGGTCTGTTTGAAAATGAAAAAAAAAGGTTCGTGTTGTACTGAACCAATTATTATTATGCTTACCGAGTGTACATTTTTATCTAACATTTCTACCAAAAATCGACGTAGGTACCTTCATTACCTCGCACAAAAAAGAAAAAAAGTATTGTTATACAGTTATTATTAAATAGGTACCTTTGAATGTTTTTTTTTTCTCCCAAGCACGAAATCGTGTGTGCCGTCAAACAAACCCTGAGTGTATAATATGTTTTCGGTACGTTTGCGTTCGGTTTGTTTTACGTTAATTTCCCAAAAGTCATCCGACACGAGTTGTATAAAAAATAATATAGGTTAGGATGGGGAAATAAAAAATAAAACAACAACAACAACAACAAAGACTAAAACGACAACTACGGGGTGGGCGTATCACA